GAAGTCATCACATACAGAGCATCAACTAGTTCCTGAACAGTGTCCTTCACATGCTGATATCCAAGAGAGGGAGTCACACAGTCACAAGATGGAGGAATAGAAAGCAGTATTCAATGTTTACTTCAGATTAGCTCCACGTCAGAAATGAGCATGCTTGATGTCTCTCTCCATAGAGGCTGAATCATCATGTTAATCACATAGCTATCATATGCCTCAAACAGTCCTGAGGCTCTTCTAGGTAATCACACATCCTGTCATGAACACAGCTACAGTTGGGATACCTTTGTTATCACGTTACTCTCATACTGGAAGAGGACATTCAGTATTTCCCAACAGTCGTGTACAGGAAGCTACACAATGCATGCTGGGATACCTGCGATGCGGTACAACGTGACAATTAAAGGTCTCATATCATGACAACAAAGCCTGATGGTGGCTTTATTAATGTAAACATCGCTTTTTTTGTTTCGGTGAAATATATTTTTTAAAAGCAGCTGTTTTAGGAAAAGTGCATCAATTGCATTAACGTTTTGTTTTATGCTTGATGTTTGTCTGTTGGTGTGACACATGGAGCTGCTGTGATGCAAGTCACATTTCAGACTTGCTCTGACCATTAAAGTATTATCGTATATATCGTAAAGACCTTGGTGTCCATATAGCTGCTTGGCGGTGTGCAAAGCCCCCTCGCAGCATTTAATCAGAAAAGAGCCTTTTATTGTTTTATGACCCTTTAACAAAGTGTTCGCTGCCTTATTGCGAACCAGGTTTGCAGTGGAGAGGAACCTGAATCCAGAAGTCATTCTTTAATTTGATATGGCTTCAAAAGAAGCATTGTTGTTGTTGTAAGGGAAACTTCTGCAGCAATGGAGAGTCAGGACTCAGAGAGACACGAGGAGAGTTGGAGCTTTGATGTCAAACACTGATGGTTTATTTACAAGTATCGCCCGGAGAAATTCACATCACAAGTCACAGCAGCCAGAGGTTCTGACTGCACGGGTGGGTTGCCATATCAATTCTGACCAGCCTCTCTCTCTCGATAGACCTTTTAACTAGTTTACAGAGTTAATCAACATATTAGGGGAGATAATCCAAACAGCTGGGCCCCCTGAATCACTGGCGTCTGACCCTTAATGGCCTCGGAGCCAGCGTTCCCACCCATAAACCATTTGTGACCGAGAGTTGACCGGTCATAAAACTGAGAATATCCACATATAAGTGCAGCAGCACATTCCTTAAAGGAGATAACAGAGTCAGGGTTGGTCATAAACAGTTAAATATCTTAGGAGTAACACAGAATTATTCTCTAACAGTTGTGATTTACTCTGGCGTTGCTAAGAAATGCTGCGACTTAAAACAAACGCTGACGCCAGCCCTCTGGTTGGTGGAAAAGCAAACTGGTTCAAACAAATTTAAGATTAAATTCAAGATTCAAGGCTTTATCATCATGTGCATCAGCTACAGTGTGATGTGGCAACGACACACTTAGGTCACAGGCTCCTCCAACAGTGCAATGTAGAGGACATAGAACAAATAAAACAGATACAATAGTGCAAGTAAATACAAATAAAATAGAAATAGTGCAAGAAGAGTCTATACAAGTAAATGGAATATGATATATTAGATTAATAATTAGCAAGATGCAAACGGATGAATGTTTATGAATGTACATATATACAGTTATGTGTGTGTGTGTTTAAGAATATATGCTGTGCACCAGTGTGTGTTTTCAGTATCGCTTCATAGTGTGTGTGATTCGGGCAGCTTTTTCTACAGCGTTCATGTGAAGGACATCAGCACTTTCCCCTCTGAGACTTTTCTTATAGCATCTATTCATTTCTTCCCGGTTCAAAAAAAGAAAACACACACACACACACACACACACACAGACACACAGACAAGCCCTGCCTTCTTCCATGTTTTTTAGCACGCACTAAATGCCCCCAGGCTGTCATCTTAGTGCATTTTGCTGAGGATGAAAGAACTTAAATCTCTTTCATTTCCCCCCCTCTTGTTTTCTCCGGTCCTGCCTCCCTATAAATGTCAGCTGGTCGTTATGCAACTCTAAATGTGTGCTGATATTAAGCCCTTTTGCTCCAGAGCCGGAAGGACAAGGTCACAAGTGATGCTAAGTCACTAACTATAATCTCGTTTGTGCACTTTTTCACAGCTGCAGACCTCAGGGGTTGCTGTATCACATTTTTCTCTTCCTCTGCTGTAAGCATATTTTCTCCGACACATTATTTTCTCCTGCCTGCTGATTCTGCCGGAGTTTCAGCTAAGCCTCTCAGCATTAGAGACAGAAAGACTTTTCTTTCCTAACTTGATCACTCCGAGATGTATGAGTGGTGCAGTGATGACGCATTACTGCATGCTGACCCTGAAGATAGCATCTCGTTTGTTCCCTCCAAAAAAAAGCCAATGTGATTTTGGATTATTGCAGAAAATAATCTCTGTGTAAAAAAAACATTTATGATACTTACATGTTTTGTTCAGCAGGATAATCTCCACATATTAACAATACTTTATGATTTCTGAAGTAAAAAGCTAACATTAGGCTACAAAGGAACTACAGCACGGTCACATGACTTCATGTCACCACCGCTAAGCTAAAGGAGGCTAATGTTGGGCTATAAAGGAACTACAGCACGGTCACATGACTTCACGTCACCACCGCTAAGCTAAAGGAGGCTAATGTTGGGCTATAAAGGAACTACAGCACGGTCACATGACTTCACGTCACCACCGCTAAGCTAAAGGCGGCTAATGTTGGGCTATAAAGGAACTACAGCACGGTCACATGACTTCACGTCACCAGCGCTAAGCTAAAGGCGGCTAATGTTGGGCTATAAAGGAACTACAGCACGGTCACATGACTTCACGTCACCACCGCTAAGCTAAAGGCGGCTAATGTTGGGCTATAAAGGAACTACAGCACGGTCACATGACTTCACGTCACCACCGCTAAGCTAAAGGCGGCTAATGTTGGGCTATAAAGGAACTACAGCACGGTCACATGACTTCACGTCACCACCACTAAGCTAAAGGAGGCTAATGTTGGGCTATAAAGGAACTACAGCACGGTCACATGACTTCACGTCACCACCGCTAAGCTAAAGGCGGCTAATGTTGGGCTATAAAGGAACTACAGCACGGTCACATGACTTCACGTCACCACCGCTAAGCTAAAGGCGGCTAATGTTGGGCTATAAAGGAACTACAGCACGGTCACATGACTTCACGTCCCCACCGCTAGGGTTGGGTATCGTTTGAATTTCCACGATTCTGATTCCGATTCTACTTTTCGATTCCGGTTCTTAACGGTTCTCAATTCCGATTCTTGAGGGGCAGGGTAAAAAAAATTACATTTATTCGAGAAACTTTTACACAGGTTAGTTTACAGTAATATTCACATTAATCAGTCTGTTTATATTCACTGCTATGTAACTGTAACCTGAACCACTGAAGCTACAACAGTCCAACTTTTAAAGGAATTTTTTTTTAAAACAGTTCAATCATATCTGCCTTCTCAGGCATACCGGGAAGAAATGTTTGAACATTTTAAAGTAAAATGCTTTAATCTGGTGCACTTTAAGCAGAATGACTAGAGACTAGATCTAGGGGGTACAACTCTAAACACCCATATGAAAAAGATCGGTTTACATTTTAATAATCAAATAAGTATGTGAACATAACCAGTAACCCATAGCCAATAACAAATACATGTAACGTATTTTAGTTTTGTTGTTCATTTATATCTTATTTTACTTTTTTATTTATGCATATTTTTGTATCTCTCCAGTTTAAAACGATATGTTTCAAACCTGTTTTATCCGGTTTTATCCCAATAATTATAAAGGAGTACCTTGGAAATAGTGTTTACATAAATTGTGATCAAAACGTTTGAGACCCACTGAGACAACTTAGATTAAAGTGAACTATCTAAACACTCAGTCCTTTACCTCACTGAGCTGTAGTCATCAGCCTCTCAGTCTGACTGGAGAGGACTCTCCCTCCACATCATTGTAGAAACATCTTCTTCTAATATCCGTTAGAGCAGCTAGCACCAGATGCTAATAACAACAGCGCTGGTACCGGTGCACCCTCCCTCTCTCCCTCGCTCGCCCCCACGCTCACTCGCACTTTGGTTGTGAGCTGCGGGTGCCAGATAAGCCAACATCCCCCATTTTCATCACTTACAGGGCCCATCGTACAGGGCGAATGAAAAGTGTAACCGGGAAGAAAAGGGTGTTACATTTACTTAATTATGAATGTTGTTACATCAAGGCCGAAAATTAGGATGAGCACCAACGGTCCAAACTTTTTTTTTTCCTCCCAGAGCTGTCAGCGCAGCGCCTCCACAGATCTGGCGCCCTAGGCGAACAACTATAACGCCAGTGCTACGGGCCGGCCCTGGTCTCAGGTTACGCTGTAGGAAGTGTAGGTACAACGCTACATTTACCGCCCCGCCGCAGTCATACGGTAGGCTACGGAGAGCGGCGAGAAACATTTCCTCAGGCATCGAAAAGCGGAACCGAAATTCACATTTCTAAATGATGCCGTTGGAATCGAAATGTTGGAATCGGTTCCGAACCGGAACCGGTTCTCGGTATCCAACCCTAACCACCGCTAAGCTAAAGGTGGCTAATGTTGGGCGTGATGACGTCTAGTCGTCTCATTTAGACATTTGTTAGCATTCGCCGTTCTTAAATTGACCGGTGGGGTATTTACTGACGTGTTTTATATCATAGGACAAAAATCTCTTCAGCTTGTGTTAACCAGACCTTATTTTAGGCTTACATCTAAAAATATGTTCAGAAAACCATTGACCTCCAGACAAGCCATATTTTGGGCCACACATGTTTGTCTGAAAGTCGTACGTTCGTCCCGGCTCTCCCTGTTTATTCTACACTGTACCTTTGCCGCTGTAACACCATAAATACCCCGCTGCAAGACTAAATAAAACCTTTTTACTGATTCTCATTCTCAATTCTCCTCCCCAGAAAGCGGAAATCGCTGTGGCCCCATTGACAATCACGTTGGTCCGGGAGGAGGTGATCGACTTCTCGAAGCCCTTCATGTCGTTGGGTATCTCCATCATGATCAAGAAGCCCCAGAAATCCAAACCGGGGGTGTTCTCCTTCCTGGACCCGTTGGCCTACGAGATCTGGATGTGCATCGTGTTCGCCTACATCGGCGTGAGCGTGGTGCTCTTCCTGGTCAGCCGCTTCAGCCCGTACGAGTGGCACACCGAGGAGCCCGAGGAGGGCACCGACGGTCCGCCCAGCGACCAGCCCCCCAATGAGTTTGGCATCTTCAACTCTCTCTGGTTCTCCCTGGGAGCCTTCATGCAGCAGGGCTGTGACATCTCCCCCAGGTAGGAAACTCTTTTATATCAGCTTTTCATTTGAAATTCAACATGTATTGTTCGGAAAATATCACTCATCACCGGCTTGAGCTTCAATCATAAAGTAGAGACACTACATACTGATATACACCTGAACATCAGCAGGAGAGGACTCTTTAAAGTAAAGACACTACATACTGATATACACCTGAACATCAGCAGGAGAGGACTCTTTAAAGTAGAGACACTATATACTGATATACACCTGAACATCAGCAGGAGAGGACTCTTTAAAGTAGAGACACTACATACTGATATACACCTGAACACCAGCAGGAGAGGACTCTTTAAAGTAGAGACTCTACATACTGATATACACCTGAACATCAGCAGGAGAGGACTCTTTAAAGTAGAGACACTACATACTGATATACACCTGAACATCAGCAGGAGAGGACTCTTTAAAGTAGAGACACTACATACTGATATACACCTGAACATCAGCAGGACAGGACTCTTTAAAGTAGAGACACTACATACTGATATACACCTGAACATCAGCAGGAGAGGACTCTTTAAAGTAGAGACACTACATACTGATATACACCTGAACATCAGCAGGAGAGGACTCTTTAAAGTAGAGACACTACATACTGATATGCACCTGAACATCAGCAGGAGAGGACACTTTAAAGTAGAGACACTATATCCTGATATACACCTGAACATCAGCAGGAGAGGACTCTTTAAAGTAGAGACTCTACATACTGATATACACCTGAACATCAGCAGGAGAGGACTCTTTAAAGTAGAGACACTACATACTGATATACACCTGAACATCAGCAGGAGAGGACTCTTTAAAGTAGAGACACTACATACTGATATACACCTGAACATCAGCAGGAGAGGACTCTTTAAAGTAGAGACACTACATACTGATATACACTTGAACATCAGCAGGAGAGGACTCTTTAAAGTAGAGACACTACATACTGATATACACCTGAACATCAGCAGGAGAGGACTCTTTAAAGTAGAGACACTACATACTGATATACACCTGAACATCAGCAGGAGAGGACTCTTTAAAGTAGAGACACTACATACTGATATGCACCTGAACATCAGCAGGAGAGGACTCTTTAAAGTAGAGACACTATATCCTGATATACACCTGAACATCAGCAGGAGAGGACTCTTTAAAGTAGAGACTCTACATACTGATATACACCTGAACATCAGCAGGAGAGGACTCTTTAAAGTAGAGACACTATATCCTGATATACACCTGAACATCAGCAGGAGAGGACTCTTTAAAGTAGAGACACTACAGCATGTGATGTTGTAGTGTGCACTTTGTTCTCTTTGGAAACAATGACTTAAAGATGCTCATGGGCCCTTTAAATATCTTTAAAGCTTTCAAGCATGGCTTCTTCTTAAGTTTGCATGCTCCAGTAAAGCCCCTGTCACACTGTCCCGAAATTGACACCCGATGGACACACGAATATTGAATTGTGAATTTCGCACGAAGATGGCCCCGAACCACACACGAAGGCAACATTTACATTACATTTAAGACATACAACTGCAATGAAAGTACCAAAAACAATGATGTTACAGTACTATGATACTGTACTGATATCTTCAGACTTTGTTCTTTACTTTATCCGTCGTTATATGTAGAAAATATTACGTTTTCTCCGTAATGTTGTTTCCATAACAACAACAACTTCCTGTCAACTCTCCTTCAAAATAATATATTATATCCTTTTTAGTTTCACAGAACACAAATTGGGTTATTTACATAATATATTTACATGATTTTGTTGTGCAATAAAACAACCAGATAAACACGATAAAGGAAATGTTCAAATTCGGCTGTGATCGTAGCAGCATCGGGCCATTCGTGAGGGCATCTTAAGCCTTCGTATGACCGCCGGTGGAGTTTCTCAGGCTCCGGCAGCAACTTCGTGAGCGGTGGCAAAATCTTTGGCATGCCAAAAAATTGCCGAAGGACCTTGCGAAGGTTCATTTTCGTGTTGAATTCGTGTGTCAATTGTGCCCTTCGTAAGGCCATCGTGAGGGCATCGTGTTATCATCGGTGCCATCGGGCATTCGCCCCGATCAGAGTGAGGGTGAATGCACCGATGATGACACGATTTGACAAGATGCCCTCACGAGTGCCTTACGAAGTTGCCGCTCACGAAGTTGCTGCCGGAGCCTGAGAAACTCCACCGGCGGTCATACGATGGCTTAGATGCCCTCACGAATGGCCCGATGTTGCTACGATCACAGCCGAATTTGAACATTTCCTTTATCGTGTGTCCATCGGGTGTCAATTTCGGGACAGTGTGACAGGGGCTTTAGTAAGACAACTTTGAAGGTAGTAAGTCAGAACAATAAATCACACACACATCACATAAGCACGTGTGTAAAAGGGACTCACTTTGTTTCTCTTTAATGGACTTTCATGTTGCATCCTATACCTTAAAACACGGGTCACAATACTCCAGGATTACATGTCTGTCTCATGACACATTTTAAACCACAGTCAAATAATTCAATCCCTAAAAAGGTACACCAGTCTCTGAATGTTCCCAACAAAGTCTACGTCCCTGTCCTCAGGCTAGAGACACATTACACGACTTTTAGGCCAGTTATAATCAATATGTGCCGTCACGTCCGTTAGTCTAGACGGAACTGAAATCTCTCGTCTGCCAGTCCTGTTGAGACGTTCATCATTATTTAAAGCAAATCAGACGTGTGCTGGAGTGCTGGACACATCTTGACAGAAAGAAGAACAATCAGCATGCAGTTCACCAGGGGCGGACTGGGACTGCAAATCAGCCCGTAAGCAATTGCCGCTAGTAACTTGTCAACGGGGGGGTGGGTGCTAGTGACTTATCCGACCGGCCCACATCGTCCGACCGGGGCCACGTCAGTACCGGCCCATCGGTCCGCCCCTGCTGCTCACTCTGGATCATGTTTGAGTTTATACATCCAGATATCTGTCCACCTGGAGATGATCTAAACTTATGAGTTTAGTTTTTATATTTTCACACTCTATGTAATGTGTCCCTAGCTTGATTCACAATATATGTAATATTGAAGCTGCAGCTTTCATCCTAAATCATGGAAAGACATCAAACAAATTGATTCAAACTGCAACGTGACTGCATTTATTCATTTGAGAAAGGCTTGTTTCCCTCTGTTTCTAGTCTTTATGCTAAGCTAAGCTAAACACATTGCATGTCCACCTTCTCTTTTAACCTACAGTCATGACATTGATATTTCTTCTTCTCACTCTTGTAAAATACACAAATAACCATAGTTTGCAAACATTATTTGAACTTTAGCATCTCCCTCCAAAAAAGCCAGTGGGATTTCTCCATTGGCTTTTGGATGATTGCAGGAAAGCTAACGTCGTGGCTATAAAGGAACTACAGACTTAATGTCACCACAGCTAAGCTAAAGGTGGCTAATGTTGGGCTATAAAGGAACTACAGCACGGTCACATGACTTCACGTCACCACAGCTAAGCTAAAGGTGGCTAATGTTGGGCTATAAAGGAACTACAGCACGGTCACATGACTTCACGTCACCACCGCTAAGCTAAAGGTGGCTAATGTTGGGCTATAAAGGAACTACAGCACGGTCACATGACTTCACGTTACCACCGCTAAGCTAAAGGCGGCTAATGTTGGGCTATAAAGGAACTACAGCACGGTCACATGACTTCACGTCACCACTGCTAAGCTAAAGGTGGCTAATGTTGGGCTATAAAGGAACTACAGCACGGTCACATGACTTCACGTCACCACCGCTAAGCTAAAGGTGGCTAATGTTGGGCTATAAAGGAACTACAGCACGGTCACATGACTTCATGTCACCACCGCTAAGCTAAAGGCGGCTAATGTTGGGCTATAAAGGAACTACAGCACGGTCACATGACTTCACGTCACCACCGCTAAGCTAAAGGCGGCTAATGCTGGGCGTGATTATAGTTAATGCCAACAGTTTCATTAGTTCCTCGCGTATTGACATATTTAATATTTAAGGTTTTCATCTGCAGTGTTGTACGTCATCTTAACAATTGTAGCCTATTTTTATATTATAAGTTATTGCACATATAGAGTGGTGCAGTGATGATGTTTTGTTGAAAGCTGACCTGGAAGTTAGCCTCTCCCTGGATCCCTGGACAAAAAGCCAATAGGATTTATCCATTATTCCTGCAGCACTCTATAATATATACTCTATCAGTGGTAATGTGCATGGGAACTGTAGTTAAGAAACATAACATGGAGGGATTAAATGTTAAGTTTGTGTTGTCTTTACCACAGTGTCCGCGGCTCATGCTGTGTGTGTCCAGCTGTTGGTGTGTGTGTGTGTGTGTGTGTGTGTGTGTGTGTGTGTGTGTGTGTGTGTGTGTGTGTGTGTGTGTGTGTGTGTGTGTGTGTGTGTGTGTGTGTGTGTGTGTGTGTGTGTGTGTGTGTGTGTGTGTGTGTGTGTGTGTGTGTGTGTGTGTGTGTGTGTGTGTGTGTGTGTGTGTCTGTTAGTATTGATCTCTTGTCTCTTCCTCTCACCGCTCTGCAGCCATATTGTTCTCCACTGTCTGACAGTCAGGGAATTAGCTCGTGTGTGTGTGTGTGTGTGTGTGTGTGTGTGTGTGTGTGTGTGTGTGTGTGTGTGTGTGTGTGTGTGTGTGTGTGTGTGTGTGTGTGTGTGTGTGTGTGTGTGTGTGTGTGTGTGTGTGTGTGGCTTCACTTCCATTACAAGAATCCCTTGGGGAAAAAAACGAACTAAAAGGTACACAATTAGGGCCGTTGCAATCAATGGAATGAAATGTAGTCAATCAGAAGTACTTAAGTAGAAATCTGAGGTAATTGCACTTGTTTTGCAGTAGTCATAGTTACACCTCAAATCAGAATCAAAATACTTGATTTAACCCGAGAGAAGTTGGGTTTCAATTCAGAATAAATTGATAAAAAACAACGATTTAAAAAAGTTAAAATAGAATACAAATATAT